AGTTTAGAGCTGCAAGGAAAATTCCCTGCAACTTCAAACTTGATGTAGGGACACACACCATTAACTATTCCGGACCCAAACTGAATTGGGTACCAAAATCTTCCTCCTCCTAATGCAGGAAGCCGCTAAGTACCCAGGTGTCTGGTACTTAGACAGTGGCTGTTCAAGACACATGACGGGTGATGCGAGCCTTTTGAGCAATCTAATTCCCTATGATGGTCCAAGAGTTACTTTTGGAGGAAGCAACGATTTTGGCCTTACTAAAGGGCTAGGAAATCTGGTGTACAAGGGACTAACCATCCAAGCTGTATCTTATGTTGAAGTACTCAATTATAACCTTTTTAGCATAAGTCAGTTTTGTGACAAAGGTTACTCCTTGGAATTCTGCAAGGACATGGCATTTCTCAAGAACATCTCCACAAATGAAGTCATTCTCACTGGGAAGAGAATCAGAAACATCTATAAAGTGATATGGAACGATGTCAAGGAAGCATGTCTAATCAGCAAAGGTGACACTAACCTTCTATGGCTTTGGCATAAGAGGTTGAGTCATCTCAACTTCAAAACTCTCAACAACCTATCCAAAGAAGGGTTAGTAGAAGGCCTTCCCAAAGCTGTATTCAGGAAGGAAAGCATTTGTGATGCTTGCCAGAAAAGAAAGCAAGTCAAATCTACTTTCAAGGCAAAACCGGCACCCTCAACTACAAGGATATTAAGTCTTATTCACATGGACTTATTTGGCCCTGTTACACCAATAAGTCTAAGTGGAAAGAAATATGTCCTGGTGGTAGTTGATGATTACTCAAGATACACGTGGACAATCTTCCTCAACAACAAGAAGGAGACTCAAGGGAAACTCACCAACTGCATGAAGCTGATTCAAAACCAAGCAACTCAGACCATTCAGAAGATCAGATCTGACAAAGGCACAGAATTCCTGAATGAAATCATCATTCATTATTGTGAAGAAAACGGAATTCTTCATCAAACATCCGCAGCAAGGATGCCTCAACAGAATGGTGTAGCTGAAAGAAGGAACAGAACCCTGAAGGAAGCAGTGAGAACAATGCTAGCAGAAGCTTCCTTACCAAGGAGGTTCTGGGCTGAAGCTGTTAACACGGCTTGCTATACCCAAAATAGGAGTATGATTTATAAAAGGCACAACAAAACTCCCTATGAACTATGGAACGGGAGAAAAGCTTCACCTTCCCAATTCTGGAGTTGAAATTGGGAGACTTCTAGCCAAGAATCTGGATTGGAATATTATTGGAATTTCTGGGCAAGCTCCCTCTGGCCCAGCGAAGAAAGCTGATCTGAACAACGACTACAAGATAGTCCTTGAACTGGTCATCGCATGCCTCGAGTGTGGAAGTGGAGGACATGCTGATGACATCACCCAAGAGAGGGCCTTCATCATCAATGCCCTCATTACCAAGTCTAAGGTAAATTGGGCTGCACATTTCTTCAATTTCATCTCAAAGCATCTGGGAAAACCCAACCAGAAATACCTTTGTCAAGGTCTGTATATTGGACATATCTTGGAGTCCTTGGGTGCTGCTTCTGAAGGAAAGAAGTATGAAGCCAGATATTGGCTATACTACCTGTCTTCCAAAGGGGAAAACAGAGCTCGTGCTAGCACAACTGCAGAGGAAAGTTCTTCAGACAATGTCCTTATCATGAGTCTGAACAAGTCAGTAAAGAGGAAGCAAGTGGTGTCTCCCTCTCCCAATGCTGAAGCACCAGAGAATCTTGCTCTGATCAATCTTGAAGAAGAAGAAGAAATCTCTGCCCAAGGAGAACTACAAAGGAAAAAGAAGAGGAAAATCACCTCTCCCTCAACATCTGGAAATGTCAACCCGGATGAGTTGAAGGAGAAGGAACCAGTTGAGGAAAACTCTGCCCACAACCAGAGCCCTCAACAACCTGATGAAGAAATTCCTCAAGTTCAGAATTCTCCAACTTCCTCACAACCTCAAATTGATGACGCTGAGAATCAATTCTGGCAGCTCTACTATGACTGGAGAGCTTGGAAAGTTGGAAATTCAGCAGAACAGTTGTTGAGTTGGGACCAGCAACTGAAGAATGAGAAGATCATCAAGAAATGCTTAGGTCTGCCAGTCAACTATTGCTGTGAGCAAATCCTGGATGTTGACTGGGTATGGCAAAGGAACTATGAAGATTTGCATCTGGAACACTTGGTCACCTCACCAGTTTCAGAATTTGAGGCTGACGATGAGGATCCTGCAGTCTACAGGCCAATCTTCTCAAAGGCTACAAAAGATCAGGTGTCTCCTACCACTAAAGCACAAGCAGATATGGAAGCCACAGCTGAGGATTTCCAAATTTTCCTGGAAACCTCCCCTGCCATTGAAACGGTTCTGACTGAAGCTGACCAGGAGAATGCAGCCTCTACTCCACAAGAACAGAACCAAGAAGCATCAGAAGAAGAACTCCAGCAACTTCTCTATTCTCAAGCTTTAGAGATTCTCACAACTCCTTGTGAGATCACCAATCCTACTGAAACTGAGATTCCGGAGAAGTCATCAGAAAATCAGGAGATGTCCAAACCTCCAGAAGCAAATGAAGTTCAAGAAGAGCAAGCTGTAGAAGCCCAGAGGAGTTCTGTAGAAGCTGAGAAGGAAACTCAAATGGCAGAACTGGAGGCCTCCAAATCTCAGTAGCCATTTTTGAAGAACAGAATGAAGCTGAAGAAAGAGACTCCCTCTCTAGGGATATATCAAATTTTAAACTTGGGGAAGCAGAAGAAGAATCTGAAAGAACTCTGAGGATCAATGATGAAGAAGATATGCAAGAAGATGATGAATCTCTTCCTATGCAACTTTTCCAAAGAACACCCTCTTCTCATCAGGTAACCAACTTCCATTTCCATAGCTCTTCTATTTCTAGTCTTCCGGATGAGGTACCAAAAACCTGGACAAAGAAGGTCCAAGGGTTGATTGAATCAGCCCTAGCATCTCAACATGCCTCCTTTAGGCAAGAGATAGAGCAAATGGAAGCCAGGTACAACAAACTGATTGAGAAATCCGAAGAGACACACTGCTCCAATCTCAAGGAGATAAGCAAATCAGTGGATAAGACTCTAGAGATCATTTCTCTATTGAGTAACACTGTGAGCAACACGATGGAGACATATGCATCTGACAGTTATCTTCAACTCAAGGAGGTTAACAAAATCAGAGAGAAAATAGCAAATGTCACAGTTAGTCTACAAAAACAAATGTCCCTTCTCCAAATGGACATCAGAGCAGCTCTGGCAGTGTCTTTAGCAAATCAAGTAGTAACCAAAGACTACTTGAAGGTAATCATTGACAATCAGAAGGAAGCACACAAACTATTCAGACTTCTTACCACAAATTCTGGAAATCGCAAGATGGAAGTAGTTCTTCAACAACACAGTCCATCCTTGATTCCAGAGCTCCCTATTGCAGTCAAAGAAGGAGAAGTCTCTTACATTCCTACGCATCTGAACTTGACTGATCTAATCCTTGACGCTCAGAGAAGTAATCCGGAAAACTCAACACAGCACCTATCCAGCTCAGGATTGGATGGAACAGAGGCTGTAGGAACAATTGCTGCTCACTTCTCAAATGATAACCAAACAGAGGAGAGACGCAACAACATAAAGCACATCAAAGAACTATGTGGAAACATGCAAGGCATCAGGGAGATTGCCGGATCTTCAAAGCGCAAGAAGCACTGAAGGTTTTCTTCATCAAACCAGGTGGAAAGTATGTGAAAACATTAATTTGCTTTGATGAAAACACCTTCTTGTTTAAACATTGCTTGATTGGTTTAAACATTGCCTTAATATTTCTCTTAATTGTGCTTACTATGCTTTATTTTGCCTATTTAAAGTATGATTTTGAGATTTATTCCTAGCGCATACATTTAGGGGGAATGTAATTCAGGAGGAACTTAACTAGTTTTTGGCTAATAATTGTTTTTGGCAATGAATTATTGATGAGCTCTAAGCAATGGAAGACGAATATCTCAGTTTTGGTACTAAAATTGGAAATCTCTGATTCAGGTACTTTACAAAATCTGCCTTCTTAAACTAAGCTTCAGTCCTTAATTCATTTCCAACAAGCTCTAAAAGTACTGGTCATTAGGATTTTTAAAATGTACAGGACTTTGGAAAAATAGTACCACTTTTCTTTTAAAAATAAAATTCATATTTGTTTTGGTACTACCTCGTCCTAAGTAGAAATTAGAACTATAGGGAATGAAAAATGATAGTTTTATTTTGGGCCTTGAGAACCCAATAGGAATAATTTCTCTTTAGTACATAGCTTTCTTTTCTTTTTGGACCACTCTTTTGGGCTTAGCCAAACTAAAACAGTTATGGTTCTCAAACCAAACGAAACTGATTTTCAAATTGGAACAGTTTCAATTCATTGGTAATTGGTAAAAGATTCCTTCCACTTTTCAACTTCTTGGAAGTTGAAACTCTTTTACTCTCACCGTTCCATCTACCCAATTAATGGAACTCGTGAACCTCCCCTCTCTCTACCTCCTCTCTTATTTAAATCAAGTCATCCCAATCCATTCCTATCACAAACAACTCTTTCAATATGAAAAGTCTTCAAACTCACTGTCTGAGAAACACACCAAGAAAAATATCCTCAATGGAGAAAGTTTTCTTTCTCACCCTCATAGACGGCAATGGAAGAAGCCTAATGAGAAGAAAAGACTTTCAAGGTCTATGGTGAGAATCTCGGCAGTAGAGAAGGTCTGTGGTGAAAATCTCGTATTTTTCAGGATTACACCATACACCTTCTCTGGAACAACACTCTCTCTATCTTTCTTCTTATTTTGAGAGATGTGTTGCTTCCAAGATCTTGAATATCCACTTTGGATATTAAAGATCTATCAAACGCAACGCCAACTGCTCTGCCAAGCAAGTTCTGCTGAAGCTGAAAACGGTTAATGGTGGAAAATATCACAAAATCTCAAGACAAGACTTGGTTTAGGAATCATTGTAATTTGAATTGTATTTGTTTAAGAGTTTTTGTTAACAAGCTGTATATTATGAGAAACTAAAAGAAAGTTATAAAATTAGTTCTCAGTACAGCGACCGGAACTCTTAAACACTTGTTTGTCATCATCAAAAAGGGGGAAATTGTTGGGAAAAATATTATAGATTTTGATGATGATGTATTTAGAATGTAATAGGGACTTTAGGTCTCCCCAAATATTCAATGTAATTTTTC